TGATAAGTTTAATGCTGCTGTTTTAGCTCAGGAAACAAAATGGACACATGACACAGCATCCTTTCCAGATGCTCCTGTCGGTGACACTTTGACCATTGCAGAGAAGTTGCATGGAAAGTACAGGCCCAAGAAGTATTTAGTTTTTGCATAATACGTAACAAAATTGAAAAAGTTAAGAGATTTTTTGTTGTTCTTTGGACATCTAAAGTGCATTACTGACAGATAAAAGGTAATTGAATAATTCATAGAAATGCAAAATATTGATTGTCTTTAGTGCAGTATAATAATGTAGTCAAGGACTGCAATACACAAAGTTCGTAGACATCACTTAAAAGTCTTTTTTTTTAAAGAAACTTAATTACTACCAGTGAAAAGTAGATTATGGTAAAATGTGATGTTGCAGTAAAGATTTTTACAGGTTTTCTCCAAGTTTTTAAAGAAAAGTGCTTGTTGTAGAGAAAAACAAGGTTGTCATTAAAACATTATTTTACAAAAAATGATTTTTTTGTGGAGTGGTAAAATCTGAAATACATACAGGGTTACATCTTTCATTTTGAAGTTTGTGTTTGTGGCTTTAAATTTTTCTGTGATGTATATTATCCTCTTTCCCTGACCTGATTTGACAGCTGAATTAGTTGAGGAGCTTAGAAATGATCCTTTCCAATAAGACAGAAAAATGTTACCAGAAGGTAACTCTAACAAGCTTATATAGCTGATTAGAGTTGCCTTCTGGTAACATTTATGCATACAGTTAGTGAATCATAACCAGTAGAGTGACTCCTTTGGGTTTCCTCTATTTGGGGAAAACAAATTAAACTTTTGCAAACCCTAGATCCAGATCCCATGTGGCCTCTCCCTTACTTTGTAAGCCCTTTTTTTTCATTACATTGAGAAAAACACAGCATAGAGGTTGACAGGTCGATCTAGTGACTACCCTCTGTTTCATGTTTGACACAGTGTGTAAACTCCCCCCCCCCCACTTTGAAATATCCTGGCTATGCCCCTGTTGGGTACATACTTGATTTTATTTCAGTCCTGAGAATTAGGGCCCACTTTTCCCACATGCAACTGTGTCCTTTGGACAGGGAATGTAAAGTGATGGTTAATGACTTCTTGAATTACTACAGAAATAACCGGTTAAACGTATTTCACTGACTTTTGAAAAAGACGCCTTTTTAACCAAAGTGAGTGCCACAACAAAATTCCTCTGCATTTTTCAGGGAAAAATGTAATAAATATTTACGACGTCGAATTAAGTTTTTCCTTTTTCTGTGGAACCAGATTTTTAGTATCTAGGTTGGTCTGCAAAATCAGCAAAAATTAAAAGCCGTTAGAATTTTATGTCATGCTGGTTGCACCACAGGCTTTCCATTTAAATATCTGTGGTTTCGGATTTCTATGGTAAGGGGTTCCTGTGGCATTTTCGGCGGTTAATTCGGCTCGCTCTCCGGTCCATAGTAAAGAAATGCGACAAGGCAGGCAGCTTCGGCAGCTTAGTCGCATTTCTTCACTATGGGCCGGAGAGCGAGCCGAATTAACCACCGAACTTTGAAAGCCCTAAACGAGCGATTTTGAGGCTTCCTAGAAGAAAAAAAACAATTTTAGGCCTCACGGAACAGCGTACGCATGTGAGTTAAGGAAAATCTCAGACATGCGCAGATGACGTCCCTTGTTGTGTTTACTTCTCCCCTCCACGCTTTTAAAACTTTACCGTTGAATATCTTATCAAAACACAAAGTCTCTGGTAGTTTTAAGNCGACTACTCTATCTTAACATTCGAGAGGTTTTTTTTTCGGCTTCTGTTTGGTGGGAGTGTTATCGGTTTATGATTAAAACCATTTAAAAGTGGTGTCAACTACGATCGCGCAAGTTGCAACCGGCGAAAATTCAGAATGGGAATGAAAATCAGTCACCGTAATTGGTGGCTCAGACAATCTGCAGTAGTATTCGTAGACATTTGTAAGTGTTTGCATTTCCATTCCCTCCTTAAAAACACTTACCTAGACTGCGCCTTAGGGTTTTGACTGTTCCTTTTAGATTGGCGTTTTCGGACCTCAAACCCTTACACTCTCTCTCGAGTCGATCGAGTTTTTCTTCACTTTAAAAGCTGCACACTTGCACTGCAATGCAGCTTTTTTCTATTTCTTAGGAATAATTCACATATTTTCTCGGCTTCTTTTTGACTGGTGGCTGTTTTTTGCAAGAAAACTGGCTGCCGTGAGCTCTTTTACGTGGGATCAGGTCTCATCGTCGGTGAGTCGGCCGGCGATTAATAACAAAAATCTGTAACTTTGATGTAAACAACTCACGGCACGAGCCCGCGTTCCTTTTCTCACGCATTTTCTCACGCGTTCTCCTTTTCTCAGTGCTACAAAGTAATGTAATCTGCGCATGTCTGAGATTTTCATGGGGTTACGGTTTCCATGGGTGGGGTACCTTTCCGTGAGGCCTAAATTTCAAACAAGTAATGAACTATTAATCTTTATTCGTAGCTGATTTTTTTGGAAGACTGACTACTAGGGACAGATTCTAGAGGCAATAAATATTTGAACTACATTCATAACGGCTATGTAAATCATTACCATAGAAACTCGAAACCACAGATATCTAAGCGGTCAGTGTAAAACGTAGACTGCAGACTGCGGACTGCAGACCGGGGGTAAAATGCAAACTGAGAGTAAAATAAAATATTATTAACAAAAAACAAGACTTGGGAGTGTTCAGTACCCGTACCCGTAATTCTTTTTTTTCAAAATCCCGAAAACTCAAACCAATAGGCGTCTATTCGCCTTAGTCATATTATCAACCTCGGGTTCTTGAACTCCCCATTTTGCTGAACCAAGTTTTCCAAATGTGCCCAAACTGATCGTAATGCTATTGCATCTTACCTTTGTTTACATATCGGCCATTTTGAATTGTGCTTTCGTGAATAGGTCTGGGACCGAGTAACTCTTTCAGCGTTCAAATTTTTCACAAGGCAAGCCAAACACGACAGCGCAACAACAAGGCAAGGTAAACTTGTCGGTATCGAGCATAGTTTGTGAAAGACATTAACGCAAATTATCGAAAATTACCATGAGATCGTCGTCCTCGTTTTCCGACATTTTATAGTGCCATGTGACTTGGGGACGACGTGACTTTTAAACTGCGTGAAGCGGCTTTTGTGTGTTTCGTGAGTCCTGACGCGACGTGACATTATTTTACGGGTACGAACACTCTTTATTTCATCCTTAAGACTGGTTTTTTTATTATTAATATTTTACCCTCAGTCTGCATTTTATCCCCGGTCTGCAGTCTGCAGTCTGCATTTTACCCCCAGTCTTTTTTTTACCCCTGGTCTGCAGTCCGCAGTCTGCGTTTTACACTGACCCAATAATTTAAGATGGTAAACCTGTGGTTTCCCTCTGTCACGTCCCAATCTCTTCATGTCGTTGAGCCCTCGGTCGATATTGAAAATGAAACACAGCCCTTATGTTGAATATATTCGCGAAACCTGAATTTCTGAAAGGAAAGATTTGAAACGGTGAGCGCATATTTAATTCTGTAGAAAGAGTGGAATAACATGCTTTGTCTGTTTGACTGATGTGGACTGAAAACCAGAGGTGTTATTGTTGACTTTGGACTAAACTTAGACATGTAATACAACACTCTTGCTCGCTTCTTGTAAATCTCGATCGGTAGCCAAGTTGAAATTTCTCATTTGAAAAGAATTTTTAGCGGAAAACTACGAAATCCTTTTAAACTTGGCTCGTTAAGAGAAACGCACAAATATATTCTACAACACGACATCGCGTGATGTTTATCACTGATTATGTATAGCTGTATGTTTTTTCCTCATTCTATCGATGATGATGACACACGTGAGACAGAGAAGAGAATACGTCTTTGTTCATAATGAGCAACAGTTTTCATAAGTTCATAATGTAATATGGCGCACTTAATCAGCGTCGTCCCTGGACTGCCATGGAGAAAAGTCCCTTCAGTCTCTAAGCTGATCTGCAATAATTCGTTCTAGAATCAAAGCCGAATTTCGCCTAACGCAGCATCATGAGATCCGAGTCACTTGAGATACAGGTAAAAACCCTTTCAGGAGGTAAATGAAGGTAGTGTTTGATTAAATATACATCAGGGATAAACAAGTTTTTTAGCTTCATTCTAGATTGTATCAAATATGCCTTCGAGTTTTAAATCAGCCCTCAAATCACCAGGATATCTGATATTTGATGATGTTATGTTAATTGTGTTGAACTGTTAAATATGTTGAATGTACAATAAACGAGAACACACTTTAGAAGGGGGGTAAAGAGCTGTTCGTTCAAAATAAGTAGCTGAATAAGATAATGGCCGCGACGTTATGGCAAAGTATTTCAAGCTAATAACGACGGAGCTTACTTAGCGATTCTCGTTCGTCATCAAATCAACACAAGACATCAGTAGTGGTTCATTCAGATACGATCAGAATTAAATTCATAGTTTATTCGGCATCATTAATCACCGTCGTTTCTAAACTATGATGGAGAAAAAATCTTTCGGTCCAAGCTGATCAATTACAACTTATTCTAGAATCAAAGCGACGCTTCGAATGACGCATTGTCTTTGGAAACCAACTATTGTTAGAGTTGTCTGGAGGCAGCCACTTGAGACGGGGGTTAACCCCCTTTCAGAAGGAAAGTGGAAATAGTGTTTAATTTCATGTATGATTTTAATAATAAAAAAGATTTTTGCTTCATTCCAGCAGTGAGTGGAACAGTTCTCAGGAAAGCCTTCATATCAAAATTAGGTTGAACTGTTAGTTTAATGGGGCATCATTAACAGCGTCGTTCTTAAACTATGATGGAGAAAGGGTCTTCCGGTCCGAGCTGATCAATTATAATTTATTCTAGAATCAAAGCGAAACTTCGACTGACGCATCATATCTTTGGAAACCTATTATTGTTAAAGTGGCAATTAGCTGGACCAGTCCAAATTTCCCCTTACCCGTGAAAAAAGGCATGAAATGACGAGATGAACTTGACAACAACCCTTGGTGGGGAGGGAAACGTGAAGAGAAAGAAAGGGGAGAAAGACAAGATAGGCTGAGCGAAGAAGACAGGGGATTGTAAAGCTTCCTATCCTAAATCTTTGTTTTATCCGATCCTTTCTAAAAGTCCTCCGAAAGTGGAGGTTGTGAAAGCTTTTCGCACACAACCCATCTTCCTTTACTTCATTTGAGGGCAAGTTTGTCTCTCCCCCCCCCCTCCTCCACTCCTATTCTCGTATTTCGCTATCTCACGATCAGAGTTAAATTCATAGTTTAATTCGGCATCATTTATCAGCGTCGTTCCTAAACTATGATGGATAAAAGGACTTTCGGTCCGAGCTGATCAACCATAATTCATTCTAGAATCAAAGCGAAACTTTGACTGACGCTGCATGTCTTTGGACACTAGCCTATTGTTAGAGTTGGCTGAGATCAATCATCAGTCAATGAACCCCTTTTCAGAAGGAAAATGAAATAGTGTTTTACTACATATATGATTTCAGTGATATACAAGATTTTTGCTTCATTCCAGCGGTGAGTGAAATAGTTGTCACGAAAGCCTCCATACCAAAAGCATATCACAAACCATTATAGAATCAGCAGTTTGGGATTTTTCTTAAAGTCGTTTTTTACCCTTTTAATTCATCATTAAAATATTTGCTGTAATTTGCTTTTGTTGATAATCGTCTTCGCCTTAAAAAAGCCTGGATTTAAGGGGGGGGCTGCTGCCGCTTTCCCGTTTTTAATCACTTATGGATCATGGAGTAACCTCTAAGTAATGTGTACGACAAGAGATTGAGGCGAGACAAGAACAACACAAGGTGGGCCTTCAGAGAGGACCGTTTACATCATTCTTCCCTTCAGGGAGGGTGGGGTAGGGGTTCTATTTCTAAAGGAAATGCAGTTACTGACTGTATTGTTTGAAAATTTTACTTAGCTTCATAAAATTAGGTAGTCTGACAAAGTAAGCCATGACAAAATTTGTTTAATTGTTAAATTTTGCTTATTATTGTTTTGACAGCTGACGAATCGATGAAAAATGGCATCTGAAGTCTACACCAAAGAACAGCTTAACTACCTCAGAATTTGTCATATCGTCACTAATATCCTGCCTCGGGAACTAAGATCCATTTGTAAACGAGAATGGGACAATCGCTACCAACCTACTTTGGGAGAGTGGAAGGATACACCGAAAAATGGACTGGATTTCTACCACAGCGAGTCCCCACGGAGCCGGTCAAAAAATGCTCCCGCGCTGGCGAAAGTCATCACCGGTAATAGGAAAGAGTGGGATTGTACAACGCTTTTTTTTGCAATTCTTTATTCGGATTCTATAGGCCGTGGACTTAGTGCAACAGTTCGCTCTAATGTAGATGATCTCAGAGAGATTCGTAATAAAGAATTTGCTCACATGCCACAAGGTGAGTTGCCAGATCTCCAGTTCAGGCTTGCTGTTCGCAGAATTGAGATTGCATTTTTGCAACTTCGTCTACCAACCCTGCAAATTCAAACCATTTGTAAACAGAAGACTTTTCGGACGGATGAGGTGAAAAGTCTCTTGGAAAAAGTTCAGTATCTCCTACAAGACCTTCAAGAAACCCAAATCAAACTAGAAACATCTGAAAAACAACGCCAGGTGGTTGAAAAACAACGTCAGGTTCTTGAAGTTCAATTGAAAAACGAAGCTTCATCGTTTTCTATCCTTCCACCCAAACCATCACACGAAATCGCATCACGCGATGGTGAGGTCGATAAAATAACCAGGCAGTTAGATAAGCTAAGACAAGCGGACGAAAATAGTTTAAGCTTCCTGTACATCACTGGTAATCCTGGAAGTGGTAAGTCTCAGCTGGCTGGTCTAGTGGCTAAGAAGTTTTACGACAGAGAAATCTCAAAAGGCAGCGTCATCACGTTTGTAATGACTTTGAACGCTGAAAACTCACAAACACTCTTGGAATCGTACGTTTCACTGGCGCGTCAGGTCAAGTGTCCAGAGTACCACATTACAGACACTCGTAGTTCCCAAGATACGAAGATTGACCTAAAGATCAAGAATCTCAGAGATTTGATTGCATCAAAAATGCACCTTTACGCATCCTGGCTCATGGTGGTTGACAATGTGACATGTGTTTCTGCCATACACGACCTTCTACCTCAATTAGGAAGCGAACAGTGGAATAAAGGGCAATTGCTCATCACAACACAGGATTCCTCGTCTATTCCTGCTACTTGTTCATTCATTTCGCACGTCTCCATGATGAAAGGAATGGAACCATTGGATGCAAGGTGTTTTCTGGCAAATATCTCCGGCCTAGAGGACCCAAAAACGGGAGATCAAGTTGCAAAGGTGTTAGATTACCAACCCCTTGCTCTTGCCAGCGCAGGCACTTATGTGAAGAAGATCCGTGAGAGTGTGGCTTCTGACTTTGGCTGGAAGGAGTATCTAGACAAGCTAGAAAGAGGAATGCGAGCCCTCACTGAAAAGGAACTGACAAAGACAAATCCAAGCTATAGCAAATCCATGACTGCAGCAACAAGGCTGGCCGTCGAAAAAGCGATAGAAAGTGACGGTATTGTAAAGAATGCGTTTACTTTTCTTTCCCTCTGTGCTCACCAAGCGTTCCATCTCGACATCCTCAAAAATTATGTATTGAATATAGATAAGCATGTGGAAAAAGAAGAGGCTGCCATTCAGATCCAAGGCTACTCACTGCTGTTGCTCGAAGAAAGACAAAATGGAGTTTTCATCGGTGTGCACAAAATTACTCATGAGGTCATTAAATCTGTATTTTACGAGAGTCAGGAGCAACATGAATACCCCCAATCTGTTCATGCTGCCTTTATAGCATTTAACCAATACATAGATATTGAGCTATCAAACACCTGGAACGAGCTGAACTCTATTGCAGCGAGCAAACATCTCATTCCACACTTAAAAGCTTTGGCCACAAAGGTTAAAGACGTTTTTGACACCCGAGATGAATCGCGCGTATTTGGAGTGAATGTATCAAATGCGGTGTTCCATTTCCAAAGATTTGGTCAAATTTGCGAGAATCACTGCGAACTGTTCGTTGCTAAGTTGTACTATGACATTGCTTTGAAACTAGTTGAACAAAGTAGTAAGAGTGGTACAGGAAAAGCTGTCATTTTGCTTAATTTAGGCAATGTACAATATCAGATGGGTAAACTTCAACAGGCGAATGAGCTTTATGAACGTGCTCTAGGAATTCAGTTGAAGAAGCTTGGACCGACGCATGTAGATGTCGCAACAACTCACAATAACTTGGGGAATGTACGGCGTGCGTTAGGTGACCTGCAACAGGCAAAGGAGTATCACGAGCGCGCTCTTGACATTCAATTGAAAAAGCTGGGACGCGAGCATGTTGATGTTGCAGGTACTTACAATAACTTGGGTAATGTACAGCGTACATTAGGTGACCTGCAACCGGCCAAGAAGAGTTATGAGCATGCTCTAAACATTCAGATGAAGGAGCTTGGACCCGAGCATGTCAGTGTTGCACGTACTTACAATAACTTGGGTAATGTACAGCGTACATTAGGTGTCCTGCAACAGGCCAAAGAGAATTATGAGCGTGCTCTAAACATTCAGATGAAAAAGCTTGGATCCGATCATGTTGCCGTCGCAAATACTTACAACAACTTGGGTAATGTACAGCGTAAGTTAGGTTTGCCTACAACAAGCCAAGGAGAATTATGAGCGTGCTCTAGACATTCAGTTGAAAAAGCTTGGACCCGAGCATGTTGATGTTGCAGGCACTTACAATAACTTAGGTAATGTACAGCGTACGTTAGGCGACCTGCAACAGGCCAAGGAGAATTATGAGCGTACTCTAGACATTCAGGTGAAGAAGCTTGGGCCCGCACATGTTGATGTCGCGTTTTCTTACAATAACTTGGGAGTTGTACAGGGTGACTTGGGTAACCTGCAACAGGCCAAGGAGAATTATGAGCGTGCTCTAGATATTCAGAGGAAGAAGCTTGGACCCGGGCATGTTGCTGTCGCAAATACTTGCAATAACCTGGGTAATGTACGGCGTACGTTAGGTGACCTGCAACAGGCCAAGGAGAGTTACGAGCGTGCTCTAGAAATTCAATTGAAAAAGCTTGGACCTGAGCATGTTGATGTCGCAGGTACTTACAATAATTTAGGCAATCTACAGCGTACGTTAGGTGATTTGAAGCAGGCCAAGGAGTACTATGAGCGCGCTCTAGACATGTGGTTGAAAATGCTTGGACCCGAGCATGTTGATGTCGCGCGTACTTACAATAACTTGGGTAATGTACAGCGTATGTTAGGTAACCTACAACAGGCCAAGGAGAATTACGAGCGTGCTCTAGACATTCAGATGAAGAAGCTTGGACCCGAGCATGCTGATGTCGCGCGTACTTACAATAACGTTGGTAATGTTCAGCGTACGTTAGGTGATCTGCAACAAGCCAAAACGAATTATGAGCGTGCTCTAGACATTCAACTGAAAAAGCTTGGACCCGACCATGTTGATGTTGCAGGTACTTACAATAACTTGGGTAATGTACAGCGTACGTTGGGTGACCTTCAGCAGGCCAAGGAGAACTTTGAGCGCGCTCTAGACATTCAGTTGAATAAACTCAAACCCGAGCATGTTGCTGTCGCAAATACTTACAATAACTTGGGTAATGTACATCGTATGCTAGGTGACTTGCAACATGCCAAGGAGAATATTGAGCGAGCTCGAGACATTCTGTTCAAGACGCTTGGACCAAAGCATATTGCTGTCGCAAATACATACAATAACTTGGGTAATGTACAGCGTATGTTAGGAGATTTGCAACAGGCTAAGGCGAGTTATGAACGCGCTCTAGACATTCAGTTGAAAAAGCTTGGACCTAGGCATGTTGATGTCGCGGGTACTTACAACAACTTGGGTTATGTACAGCGCAAGTTAGGTGACCTGCAACAGGCTAAGGAGTGCCATGAGCGTGCTCTCGACATTCAGTTGAAAAAGCTTGGAACCCGGCATGTTGTTGTCGCGCGTACTTTAAATGACTTGGGTAATGTACAGCGTTCGTTAGGTAACCTGGAACAGGCCAATTAGTACTTTTTGCGCGCTTGGACACTAGCATGATGGAGTCGTGATAAGTTTAATACTGCTGTTTTAATTATGCATAATTTTCAGATAATGGTGTATCTCTATTGTCCTATTTTGTACTTCCGTATCTTTCGATTTAGCTGCGCACGCTGCGAAGAAAACTGGGGTACACAGGGTACACAGAGTATACAGGGTACACAGGTTATACACGGTATATAAGGGTACACAGGGTATACAAGGGTACACAGGGTACACATGGTATACAGGGTATACATGGGTACACAGGGTACACAGAGTACACAAGGTACACAGGGTATACAGCGTACACAGGGTACAGGGTATACAGGGTACACATGGGTACACAGGGTACACAGGGTATATAGGGTACACAGGGTACACAGGGTATACAGGGTACACAGGGTACACAGGGTA